CATCTAGAGTGGATAGAAATTCACAGAAGCGATCATATCTATTATAGATAGGTTTGCGCAACGAAGAAACAGAGACTACTTTTAGGCTCTTAAGTAGTATTTGATTAGTGCAAAATTCATGAATGTTCATTCTATGATGAAATTAAAAGCTACTGGAACAGGCTGACATTCCTTATAAACTATCAATCACTACTTCTTTATATTTAAAAACGTTCGAAATTGTGGTCAATGAGCACCGTTTTGCTACCCGTAGCTAAGCTGCTCTCCTAAAAGCAATCTCCATCCATAAGCATTTGCCCGAATATGCCCCCAAAATTTCATTCATTCCCAATGCATTAGGTAGGCATGATCACGGAACTTTTTTATCATGATAATACAAAGCGAAAAGTTTCAATCGGAACTGTCATCGTCTGACTCGGTAATCAAAATTATTATATTCACCACAGTGGTTTATTTGTAAAAATTTACAAAACTGAAATGGGAAGTATTGCCAAAACGACAGACTCACTTTTTCCACCAAATAGTCCAGTAGAGGCACATGATCATAAAGTGTTGCCAAATGCAAAGGCGTATAGCCGCTTTTGTTCGCCATGGTCATCACGAGTTTGAGTTGACTGGGGCAAGACTCAAGCATGATTTTAACGGCATCCAAATCACTCTTGCTGCATGCATAGTGAATCGGTGTCTCGCGTTCGTTTTGCATGACCAAAATACTGGCTCCATTATCAAGGCACGTCTGAATTAAAGGAAATTAAGCGAACAAATCACTTTCCTTGCGACGAAGCGGAAAACATTGAAAAATAAAACCCTAGCATGTAATGATCATGAGGCAGACTGCAAAACAGATGCACATGTGGTGGTCTGCTTGAAAAAAAGTAAAACAACATGTAATGTTGATGTCACCGTTTCGCCGGCGCCGACCTCTATCACGCAGTCGATGGATCCTCGGTTTGTGCGTTATCCCAGCTGTCATCGTAGTCGGAGATGATTTTATGAAGCTTGTTTTATTTGGACCAATTCCGACATAACTTACATAACCGATTACGCCCATTTATTCAATATGTATTCCTAAACTGAAAACATTTTTAAATCAAACCTAATTGTTAATATCAGAAAGGTTTATAGGTACAAACGTAATGTTTGTTGTCTGGAATTTGGCCAGTTAACTTTGTAAGAACTTCAAACTTTTAACCTCAACCGGTTTGTGCATATGTATATAAACCCACGTATCTGTTGCTGGGTATATTGATCAAACTTGTGCGACAGGATCTTTGATTTAGAAGTACAGTTTAGTTTCATAAAATCTGACCTGTAAGTCAAAAGAGTATATTCCCTGCAATATTCTTAATTCTCCTGTTTCACTATACGATTTAGTGAAACCTTGAGTGTAATGTTTAAATTTGTAGTAGTTTAAATACAACAGTTGAGAATCAGAAAATATTTAGTGCAGAGCATCATGGAGGCTGAATCATTTTAACAAGTGCTTACCGTTTTTCAAGTGTTTATTTTAGTCGATCTAAGTATCTAAAACCCATGCCCACTGTCTTGTTATTCGGCGCCCTTGCATGCCACTCCGGATTGTGCTAAATTTGTTGCACTGATGAGTCCTACCAATTATCCTGAGGGTGATCTTTAGAGATCGGGACGCGGCATAATCTGAAATAAATTGATAAATGCAAATAAATTGTTAAATGTGTAAACTCTACGTCAAAACGGCTTACCCAGATGCGCCAAAATGAAGGAGGGCAAACAGAGTTTTGAAAAAAAATACAGCTCTTGCCTATGAGTCATTGTTCAAAATAAATTCTGGTATGAATTATTGAGGTTTCGTTATCCTGGAAATGATACCCCATCAACCACCGTAGAAATCGGGAAATCTCAGTTTTCCAGGCATCTGATCAGTAGAAGCAACAACCAAAGGGGATATTATTGTTTCAGGTGAGAAAGAAAACCATATTCATTCCCGTGAACGAGGTTCAAAACACTACACCTTGAGAGGACAAAATCTGAGAAATGATAGGGTGTCGCGCGGGTTCGATGAATACCTGCTCATGTTCGTATGATAGATATGTGGAAGAATAAGCAAGCCAAAGTGTCCCCAACATCTTTGATCTGCTTCGCTAAATGTGTTAAATTGTGGTAATTGCTATCGCAAGGTCTGGTAGGTTTCTTCACGAGACTCATAGCACCACAATACTGCAAATTTACCTAACGGACCGGATGGCTATCTATAAAAGCTTTCCGTGATAAGTTCGATCGGGCATTTTTAAGCACTCCTCATCCACAATAAACTACGTCAGCTTTACATTTTAATATTGCCCGTGTCACGAGAATTAAGTTAATCCTTTTCTATTTTTTCTCTCATATGTTTTGTGGCTTCAGTTCAACGAAACTCAGTATTCTTCGATCGGATAAGAAACGATTCTGTTCAAATCAACTTTGTGCAGGTATGCAGCCATCCGTGGGTCACATTGAAGATTTTATAAATAATAAATAGTGAAGCATTTGTGGTAAACAATCGTTTCTTGTGTGGGTTTCATGATTCATGTACTCCATTTATTCTCCTAAGATTCACAGATTCTCTTGATGGCATTATTCAAAGATCAGCTATAATTCACGTTAGTAAAGGTCATTACTTGGTTCTGCGGGTCTTTGAATGACCTGGTGTGTCCCTGTGCATAGAAACAGATTTACACGACAGCGCATACCACCTCTTTTACTTCGCTTCAGGCGTTCACTAGCTTACAGAGAGGATTAGTGATTTTCATGTATTCCCGACACAATTCTGTCGGATGTCTGACTGCGTACAGATTTGTCAGATCACATGGCCTCCGGAATGGACCGAGTTAAAATGTGTAAACAACCTTTACCATGGACCAGTATAAATGCAGACACCAGATATTGTGAATTTACTCAATGTCATGCAGTATCATAGAATTAAAACTATCAGATCAGATTACTCATACGCCTATCTAACTGCCTTCGAATGTGTTCACAGTGATTCGAGCCTAAAAAAATGCATTCGGATGGCCTGATTTTCTATTAAAGGTATTCGGCTGACCATCAACCACATTCGTGAACCGAGCTCTGAATTACGGGCTTAGTGCAACCACTTGGTACACATTTATCCGATTAAAAAAGCATGAACAGACTCAATAAATAATTATTGTACCCTCGAAAATAGATAATTCACTTATTCTCAATAACGTGGATTTTTTCTGTTGCCGCTTGATTTTCTCTAAACTATCAGCTGTGTCTTTAAAACTGTGGTAAAACATGATGTACGCCACGTATTCACTTCGGCAATCAGGAAATTGTTTCTGTGTATCTCATTATAAAAAGCATCTGTGTCTAGTAACATGGTTGTTAAAACGTTATATCCCGAATAGTTTAGCATGAGCCAATCTGCTGCAAACGAGACTGATTCCAAAGGAAAAGTGCTAGGTGCGTCTTTCCGTAAACTGCATCAATGACAACAGCGAATGGGTGGACTGAGACACAAAACAGAGTGAAAAGAAGGTTAAACACACAACATGGAGAGTAGTAGGTAATTGGAATAACAAACTTCTGCGTTGATATATTTTTGCGTTAGTTTGTTGTTTTTACGGGGCATGTGCTTTTGACAAATAACGCCATCGATTTCTATTCTGGTCCCTATCTCTCAGCTTCCTTAACCAACGACAATCCTCATCCCTTGGGTCCCAACTTGGAAGGCCGGCTGCACCAAACGAAGCCAAAGCTGCGGCTAGCTTTTACATACCTCTGCGCCATGTCATGGTCTGACCGCTGCGAAGTTTCTTCCAGTCTTCCCGGCACGTGTATAATGAGCACGGAAGGGAAGACGATCGGAAGGTATACACAATATGTGACCAAGCCATCACTGTGGGTGTAGAGTGGTTACTTAGAGAAGGACTATCCGCATCGAACATACGACGACGAATCTCGACATTGTTCATCCAGACATGAGTAATGCTACGTAGAAATCGGTGGTCGAATAGAAAAATATCGACTAGCATCCTCAACGCGAAGGGGTCAGGTCTCGCAACCGTAAATTAGAACGCTACGAACCACAGCGATGTACACCCTTTCCTTAAGAGAGCGGCGCCACAGGTATCGCAGGTTGGCGAAGGCTGCCCTGGCTTTCGCTATTCGTGATGTGATCTCCTCTTCAACTTTAACACCAGCTTCGTTCAAGATCCCGACGTACTTGAAGCTCTCTATTACTTCCAGCTGGTCACCACGGACGGTGAGTGCAGACACAGGCTGCCAGTCTTGAACAAGCAGCGCGAAACCCAGCCAGCTCCTCGCGGGTCTTCTCCGCTCGCATAGTGTACAATCAGCGGAGAATGACGGACGCCAACAGATTTGACGCTTTTAGGATAAGGCTAATATCCATATGATTGGCGCAGTCAATACACGGGCCCTTTTTAAAGATAGGGACGAAAATCTATTCCCCGCACCAGTAGAGTAACAGCTCAGTGTGCCAGACTTTAGAGAAAAGAGCTACCAATTATACAACAAACTGTATTCCACCATCTTTAAATAGGGCTGCGGGAAGGTCGTTGGAGTCCGGCAATTTGTGATATCCAAAGGCTTGGATCTCCTTAGAGATTTCAGACTCGAAAGGTGGGTCTTTTGAGACAGACCATGGGACGTGTGGCGAAATACATCTGTGAGAAGCTGACCCTGGTGGCCAGCTCAATTGTGCCTCGAAGTGCTCCGCCCAGCGTGCAAGGCTTCGCTGTTGATTATGAATGGTCGCAGATCGTTTTCCTGACACCCAAGGCTTTCCTACCGGTGACCTATGCCTTTATACAGCACACGCTCTGCCATCTGAGTTACGAGGTCACACCAATAGCACCAAGCGTAGGCGGCGTCTATGCGTGAATTTGAAACCAACCGAGGCTAGTGAACTTGTAGCAATTTGAACATAAGTCTTCAATAACACGAGATCCATGGATGGAACGGATCTCACTGAAAAACTTGGGCGTCGTGTTCATGATTATTGAGGAAATTAGCTTGTCTTAGCCACGACGAATGAAAACCAAAACACAAAGGCATTGGTGACAACGTTCCAACACTCTGGGAAGGCCTTTTTCAAATCGGTTAATCGGTTAATCTCACGTTACAAGCAATTATAAGGCGATGGGATGATATAATTGCTTGTAACGTGAGACTAACCGATTAACCGACTTGAAATAGGCCTTCTATAAGACTTCAATGTGTCAAACAACATTTTGAACAATCAACCTCACTTTAGAAGCTCACTTTGTGGACTCCGATGGATTCTAATGGAAAACTGTCATGGCAGTCAAATCACATACTGCCTGATGGATGACAGAAGCCTTTGTAAGTTGGATGGGTGATTTGAATACACAACTTTTGTCCGCTTCTCATATGCTCAGGGAACTGAACAACAAAAGCATTTTTTACCTAATCAGAATAACTAGCCACTCACACATGCACATTTCTATATTGTAAGCTCATCGCGATTAACCCGAGACAAATAGGGTGGAGTAATCACTGAATTCCCTCGCTGTTCCAGAAGTAGCAAATCCCCAATTTATGCATCATTCAACAGGCTAGACTATCTTTCTCAATTTTTGCTCACATGCAAAAATTGATCCGAATGGCGTATATGCCCAAAGAACAAAGAACGTCGAACTGAAATGAATGAGCAAAGTTGGAAGGTGGTCAAGACTGATTCCTTCGTTGATCTACTGTTAAAACCGTGTGCACCTGCCATTCTACTTGAGAACTCGTGAATGACTTTCGGTTAACGTCGGCTATTAGTCCAGTCTTCAAACGGTGAGGCACGAAGTACTTGTAACCTTGGAAAGTTAGGTTTTCAGTTAGGTTTAGATATGGACGGTAAAGCGACCGCTGCTTCGCCCTGATACCACGGAATAACACACCATCAAATAATCCATTATGGGCTAACAGTAACAATATCATGTTGGACATGGCATCACCGTGTGATTAACCGGTTCGTAGTAGAATTCAAAAATGCTCTGACCAGAATATTCATACACTGCCAACGATCTCAATTATAATCAGCATAATTGGGCCGTGGCTAATAAAGCTCCCAAAACTATTGCTGAGCTCTTGTTGTCATTTCACCGATATTTTTCCGATTGCGCGCAATTAATAATTCCAAGTATCCCATCATCCAAATTATTACTTATTCATCACTGAAGTAGACATTTCTCTGTTTATTTGTTCTTGCCACGAGTGTCAAAATCCATAGTGATAATTATTTTTATTAGGGTAAACTGACTCTAATGCAGATGTTCAATGGATAATATATTATTGGGAATGACGACTTATTTCTCATTGGTGCACACCTGGATCATTGCGTTGAAGATCCTTCGACCTCTCTATCATAGGCTGACGAGTTCATGCAAACTGAGTCCTGTTTGCAAGAATGCACATATTTCAACATGCTCAAAAGCTGTTAGTTTCTTTTCCCTGTGCCTGTGCGCAGACAAAGATCACTGGGAATCCCATGAGGCATGAAACAACAACCCACGTGGATGAAGGTCATCGGCATGAGTCACATGTGTCCGGGTCTGTGCTGAAGTTGGAAATGAATTTCCACGCTTACGTTGTCTTTACACTTTTTGGAGATCACTGCTGTGCCTATCTGAGATGATCAGAGCTACCTCGTTCACACTTCTGGTAATGTCCACGATATTCAAATCTGCGTAGCCTCAACCCCCGCGCGGATTGTATCAGCGAACCTTTGAAACATATTGCCTGACTCCGCTGGCTTCACATAGTTGATTAAAATGGGATGAATGGTGAATTAAAGTTAACCAATAACTCAATGGGTCACTCGATGTGGCCTATTCGTCTGGGCTGTGCACTCAGGGTTTGACCACAAACGGATGTAGAGTATTAGAGATGAGAAAGCAGCCTCTATCAGTATATGAAAAGTTATTGAAGTAATCAAAAAGTACAATATCTACTTTTAGAGTAAAACTAATCATTGGAATATACCAAAGGCACATATTGAAGGAAAAAAACCGTTTAGCGAATAAGCGGTTTTTCACTGACTCATGAACTGGCTATTAAATCACACTTATTACAGCAACCATTTTGTAGAGAGACAGGAGGAACATATAATTAATTTTTCAAATTAGGGATTTACTTCTTATCTTTCTCTATTCCTTAAGCCGTAAATCTAGCACTTCAGTTTTTTTTAATGTGATTTGGGGTGACTGGGAGGGGGAGAGGGAGGCGGAGGACCATGGAAGACTGGGTGTTTTCAAAAACTGTTTCGGGGACGTACAATTAATCCCAACCACCATCTGCGGTGTCCAAGACATCAATTATAATGGATTAGATGGCCACCGCGACTAAGACAGAGAGAACGAGGTGGTTCATTCACACTTATCGTGTGATGAGATTTGACAAGGTATAAAAAGAACGGCACTTGTTATGGTTTCGATTACACCGATGATGCTCCCATATACGTGTAGATAATGGATGAAAAAACAGTGTATGAAATCACTGAGCCCTCCATAGTTGTACGTCTAGCTCCAGCCCGAATCACATGAGTAAGGCGGAATAAATGAAATGAACCAAATATGATAGTAAGATCAGCCACATCCGGTTTGTTGAACAGGATCACATAACGAAAGGTGTCATCATTTGACTATTCGTTTTTTTTGTTTTTCCCTTTTTCTAATCAAAATATTGCTACATAAATCTAATCCGCTGTGCTCAGTCAGAGACGGATTCACTGAATTGAACCAAACAATTTGAAAAACTATTTCTGTCATCTTGTTACCATCCATATATGCTTCTGAGGGTAGAAATTCTGTTGGAACTTCTGTAGTAGTAACACAGAACTGGAGTATAATTTTCAACCGCCACACAAACTGTACGTGAACCTGGACAGCAATGACAATGATGTCAACAACGACTGAGCATCATCTATTACATTCTTATCGCAGCCGCCTGAGGTGTAAATCCTACCATATTGTCTTGTACTGGCCGTAAGCAATGACCCATGGGCATGACCTATTATTTTCGGTAGGAGTTGAATTATCAGGGAACGAGGAACGAACACGCACTCACACACAAATAGACACGTACTCCTACTAGCCAGGTAAATACGCAAGACCTGCTACGGGAGTTGAGGTGTGCGTGACCGAGACACGTCGCACAACCTTCCCCTGTGCTCCCACAGAAGGTTGAGAAATCCGTGGGGTCTGATGATCATGCAATCACCGCTATAAGGCCTGAGCAGTACGCCGGTCTGGAAACGCTGACGCAGTCAATAAGACAGCTTCAAGTGATACTCAAACAGCATGAGATGACACGGAGATAAATTGAAATGGTACTTGGCCAAATTAAATTGAAAAAGGTTTATCGCCTAGTAACACCAATGCTAACCAACTCGGTCTTATAGAGTTGCTAGCGTCAATTATTAGGAGCTAAAGCAATGTGATTGTTGCTAATTTCAAAAACGTTGCTACAATCGATTTTACTTATTTTGTAATAAACTTTTAGAAATCTAACAGGATATTTATATAACCGCTAGAAGTAGAAATAGGTCCGTTAGTAACAATTCACTATTATTTGATCGAAACAAGTGTAACGGACTTCCTTCACGTTTTTCAATTCGCGAATGTTTATTGCTGGATCTAGAAAACAGTTCTAGAGATTTCGGCATTATTATAGTTGATTACAAATAGCTAATGACAAACAATACTCATGGACCAGTTTACATCATGAACAATATAGAAACGCATCGTGCTTTTATTCAACCGGTATTTTTGTGCTTACTTTTATTCCCACTAGGTCACCTGCCCGCACTGCAGTGTGCAATGGCGTATCACCCTCCGAGTCCACCAGATTGATCAGGCTCAATTTCGGCGCCGCGTAGGATTCGATAACAGGCACATTGGACCACATCTCGCTTCGCTTGCGACTGGCGAAACTTTCTCTTCTCGTTTCCGTGTGTTCCAAATCCGGTTCGGGGCTTGGACTTTGGACTGACACCGCTGATTCGGCACGTTTCTCATTTTCGAACAACACGCATAGACAACGATGGCTTAGGTTCTCCAGAGCGATATGCACCGGATAGGAGTGGTGCAAATTTGGAACGTAAATTTCTGCCCCATGGGAAATCTTCAATAAAAAAGAGTTGTGAAGTTGAAACGTTCTTAATTGCCGTTTTAGTTTAAAACCAAAACAGACATAATAAAGACATGCATCATTCATTCTCCCTTATCCATTTCATGAATACAGAACAAAGAGAAATATCACGAAATGTTAAAATTTTGGTTAATCTTCTCAGTCGCTGACTTGAAAAAACCACTATTACTTAATCGCAATGCTAAATCTTTGGCAATTAGTGAAGCACTGTCTATTCGATTACATCACCCGACCTTATGCACGCAAACGGTTTTGGTACAATCAATCCAATTGCTGTGGAGTTGACCTTCTACTTCTAAATTAAGTAGTTTATATGCTTGTTTGTTCACTATAATTGATTAACGCCATGTGCTACATATGTCCCTGTTTGTTTTAAGTGAGCAATGGGGAAGATTAAACGAAATGTTAGCATCTCGCGATATTTGTCTTTTTTTCTGAATTGACGATAATAAAGATCGTCGAGTAAATAGTCATTGGATTGGTTAGTGTCAAATTTGTAAGGATAATTTCAATATGGACAACATAAAGTAATAAACAAGCTCGTTTACGGTGCAACATCAACTGACTTCATATAGCACATATTATAATAAATTAAACAGGCGGTGAGAAGAGACATATATCTGCGAAGGTGGGTGAATGAGTGAGAGTTTCTGAACGGAGGTTAAGTCATCAGATTGTTAGTGGATGGCCATGGTAAGACGAATGTTCTTATAAACTGTTTCTGGGCGCACAAGGGGGGACCCGATGGCAATCACCTCAACTGGTAAAAATTCTGAACTTGACGTTTTTGGATAACCTACCCTTGAACTTGTTGAGAAAACGGAAAGCCTCAAGCACATTAATTGTGTGATAGGCATTCGTCGAAGGATTCGTAATTGTCGTCGCCCGGTCCTTGTCAATGTCTAATTCAACCAATGAAGTGATGCCCCTTGATGCGCTGAGATGGACGTTTCACTTTTCGGCCGTCTATTTTAATATGGTGATTTAAAATTTTAGGTGATTCAAAGAGATATGTTGAAGGATATCTTCATTGATCATTTTGTTCTTCTTTGGAAACAGTAATTAAATAGCAGATGCTGTTCCGAAACATCCGAGATTTATTGTTCTCCACTCCGTCATGATGTATGATTTGGAATTGCAAGTTCTAAAATACGGTCTGAAAAATACTAATCTTTATTTCGTTCCTTTTATATCGACCCTAGCCCTTGCACATTTTGACACCATTACTTGAACACTTGCAAATGATTTCGGTTACTTACTAAAATCGAAAATTGGATTAATATCACCACACGGTTTCTATTTAGTTGTACTGAATGGGTGTTTCTGTTGTGAAACTCCATGAGGCTTATCTAATATTACATGGAGAGAATCACCCTCGTTACTAAATATGACACCTCTCAGTTTTTATCATTATACTACAGTGTTTCTAATTACTCAATTTGAATTTCACTCCTTGCATGATGTCGGCAGCTACGTCAAACTGTATAAAAAGGTATTCTCTGTTAAAAATTCTGTATTTTGAATAATGCATATGCCCTTAGTTTAGTTTAATCAAGGGGTGTGGTCCGACTGAATAGGCATCCTTATGGTATGAAATAATGAACATGATTTTATATGAACAGAGACGTGTATGGAAGAATGATTTTGTTCAAAATTATATTTCGACCACCCCTTTCATGTTGGGTTGAATCGAAATAATCTTTGGCAGTTTTGACATAATATCAGGCTGTTTGAATGCGTTCGATCAGTACTAGCAAGTACTTCATCTCATAGGATTATATATCCCTCATGATATTTGGGGATGCTGAAAAAGTAAAACTTCTTCCGGACATTATGTCAGTGATACACGATCCCATCTAGACCGCCCAAATGGTATAGTTTTCATAGAACACCGATCAACGCCGTTCATCATTTTAGGTAATATATTAATTATATTGATCCTGAGAGAACTCTGGCTCCTCTATCACATTCATCGATACTTTGTTGAGCGTACTTTTGGGCATTGATATCTAGACAACGCATTTAGTTTACTTCCACCCAGCTCCTTCTGAACTGGTTTCTTCGTCGCCTCCGCGTACGTTGCCAATCCATTTCTCTCCGGGATGATTCGAGTCGTGCTCTCCGGGCTTACCAACAGATTCAACAACCGCCATTTTAGACCGGCTCAGTCTGATTGGAGTTCTGCTTTTACTTTTGGTAAACTAACATACGCTTCTTGGTACAAAGGCACCGAACCTCGAGGCGTAACCCACTTGACGAACATTCACCACTCCATTGTTATCCAAGCCTTTCAATCGCGATGCGAATTACTCACCGTGTTCCGATCAGCATCCCGAGAATGGAATCAACCCAATAAAGTATAAAAGTTAATTTTCCCGCGGTACCTCACATTTTATTGCGTCCCAGGGAGCCCTATTAGGACTACGCTCCCACATTTTCATCTTCTTCACATACGTCGTTTAAGACAATGGAATTGAGAATCATCTTCTCAAAAAAGCGAAGTATGTAAAAGGAGTTTGCAAACATGTGCTTTTTATAGTGTTTCAAGGAATATAAGATCTTGGACAACGTTGTAAATAGCTCACTAATGTGTTCTAACTCGGTCACTTTTTGCAGTAGACATTTGTTTCTGATTGCTTGTGTTCCAGGAACTGCAGTCCGACATGTTTGCTGCAAAGAAAATGCATATTGTTTCCATAGAGCGAAGATAGACACCTCGTCAGTTCAAACAATCCCGCAAAATGCATTAAGAACAACACAGCGAGGAAGACAAGTTCTTTTCAGTTAACCGTAATCTGGTTGATACTTATTTGTAAATATGTCTTACAATGCCAAAAATGACAATGACAAATAACAGCTTTACTGGTACAGATATGAACAATATTATTGCTAAACATAGCATTGTACAGATAACCTATTGTAAAGGGTTCCCGACCAATGAAAGATGACTTAGGGTAATGTGACAACACTAAGGTAGGCGACGGGTCTTTATCTGAACTCACAATCCTCGGGCAATATTCTTGTTCACTTCAACCACGTAATCACCATCACCCGGATGTTTGTGTCTGTAGTAGGGGTGTTTGGATTTGATCACAGCGCCAGAATAGCAATAAAGCACATGCATGTTTGGTAAGATAGAATGGCCTCATCTGCATCCAAACTCTATAATAATTTAACTAATGTAACAATTCCGTGATACGTTCCCGTAAACCTTAACCAAACCTACAACCAATTGAGTGTGGGAAGCTTTATTCACAGCAGGAGTTATCCTTCCCACCAAAAATAATGATCACTGCACATGTAAAAAGAAAGCGATTCCGCTGTACTTCGACCGAAACGACTGAATTAACAGTTAGATGGTAAATTTGTTTAATCTTATATGTTGGCTTATGTTTTTGTCAACCTCGGTTTATACTTCACACAAGAAAATGGTCACGTGAGTAGAGAGAGAGTTGAAACACATTTTCTACAATCACTATATTTGTACACAAGTCTACATGTAAAAGATGTAATCTTTTTAGAAACTAACGTCATCACGTGGTGCCTGCCTATCAGAGGCTAATTATTAAACGTATTTTCGATTACCTGAAGCAGTCACCAATCACACGCCGTGTGCACGTTAGAGGAGGACCCGTTAAATGAATCTTCATTTTTCACGGACAGGACCGATGTACGACGCATGTACCTAGCTTTGTTTGAAACGAGCTATTCAAAGTTATTATTGCTTAGTGGAAAAAATAAAAGAACAACATAAAATGGAAACTCACCAAAATCTTCAAACAATCTACACTGTCTGTAGCACAACAATAATGAACAGCCGTTTCGCCTTGCTCTCCTTTTGCTTCAATGTCAGTACTGGCAAATCCAATTAAACGCTGTCGTTTGAAGAAAGATCGGAATCGGTGGGAGTAAGTGTTTAAAGGTCGTGAGCGTTTGGCATTTATGGCATTTATGACATACATTCTGAAGAAGTCCAGTGTTAGAAGGGCTGTTGGGTAGGTGTAAAATGGCAAATCTTCAAAAGAGACAGAATGCTTTTGAGGGCTGGGGTGGGGAATTCCAATAAAAATGTATCTTTTTTTATTGGTGTCGTTGAATTAAGACAAGGGCGGGTAAAATCAAACTGGTTTCATGAATCTCTCAGCCACAAAGGTTTTTGAAACTAGTATACCAGCAAAATGCTCCCAGGCTTTTCACCTCAAGTAATTTCGGAAGGAATTGCCAAAATTGTAATTTTCAAATGGAACAGTGTTAACTAATTTCTCTGCCTCCTTACCGGAGTCATTGAAACATCCGGGCAGTTTGAATGCCGTGAGGGGATCAAAAGTGACGTGTAAATAGAAAGGAAATATAACGAATTCGCTGGACCAAGGCAGACCATTTAAAATGGCAGAAAATGGGAATGATTCATATCATATAAAGTAGGTAGAAAAATAGTTTGAGGAAATTTTGTCCGTCAGGCGAAATTATTTGGTAATGAATAAACATTTACCAAACGTTTTCTACGCCTTAAATGACAACCGACAGAAAACTATCCCATCGTTTTATGATAGAAAACGATGATTATTTCCACTAGAACATGCAGCAAAATCAACCACTGCTGGTACGAACCTTTTGATCCGGTAGGTACATCGATAAACAAATGGTAGAATTTGTTTGACAATAAATAAATAGATATAACCAAATCATCCAAAAACCGAAACATCAGCTCACCTCCAAGAATTTTGAGTGATTTTTCATGGCTGCCAGATGAATTGGTTGCTGGTGATCTTTGTTGGTGCAACTCATGTCCACATTCAGATGAGCCAAATATTCAAAAACTTCCAGATTACCCGACATAGCAACCAGGTGAATTGGACGATTTCCTTTGGCATCCGGGGTATTGATATCTGCATATTTCGCGTATGGGTGTACCGTTTAAATAGAGCATTTGACAATATGGTTATCGCTTTGTTAGGGTTCGTTTAAAACTTTAAGTTCGCAAACATGAGGGCACGTTTGCTCTGGCCCAAAATAAATCCCAATCTTACGTACCAATTCCTTCCAATTAGTCAATATGACAGAAAACAATGTGTTGACAACTGTTCTTCGTAATCAAAAAAACGTTACAGATATTCACTGCTAACCTTGATAATATAAACGGTTTTTTCAAGCCCAAAGCGCAAAGAACAAAAATGGAACTTGAATCAGTTGTTCGAAACAATAAGATTTCTTTTGCAGCAAACTTAAAATGAGTTTGAGAAAAAATTATCCAATGCGCCGATTACCTGATAACTGATTTCCTTATAGATGACCAATAGCATCGAATTACCGTTTTCCCCTTGTTAACTCGAGTCATTTGCACACACTACTTTTATTTCTATGTAGAGATTCGAACCGGGAACTTATAGTTTTGAAGCTGAAGCCATTTTTAGGTGGCTTCTGAGTCGACGTGCAACACCTCGATGCAAAATTATTTCCGATCGATTGGTTATGAGAGTACAAGTTAGAGAGAACAAGCTCCTTATCAGTACTTTATCAACTAACCCATCACAGCACAATATATGATAAATTAGATAGATGGTGATAGGGGTACATATTTGTAAAGGAAGTTACAGTTTAGGAATATCTAATGTAATTTTGATAATTTATAAGTTTAGTGCCTGTGTGTATTATTGTAGAAGGTGGATGAGGGAGAGTGGTTGTGAATGAATGAGTTTTTGAATCGGTATTTTACGAACGGAGCATAAGTGACCAGATCTTAACTGGATCGCCATGACTTGACCAGTGTTCGCACAAATTCATGAAATTCTCGCAACCTCCTTTCAATTAACACTGTATTTCATTTTAAATTATTACACAATTAACGAACATATTATCGTATTCCTTTTTCTTTCCACCATGTTGATGGATTTTATTGGGGCGCACAAATACTTCTGTTTCCCTGTCATAAAAAAGACGAATAAAACCATTCATGGAGATTCTGAACACCACACGTATCAGTAAGCCAAAGAAAACATTTATCTGAAACTGACAAAAGAGGTGAGAGGAAGAGAGAGTGCATTTGAGTGCCTCGGAAACGTTTGAATTTAAACCAAAGTAACTTTTCGAAGAACACAGTAATCTTTAATCCCCTACCCCACCCACCCCACCCCGATGTGATTATCGCAGAAATCTACCTCCCTTTTTCTTCCGCTCCAGTTGAAAATATCCCTTTGGCGTTACTCACCTTCCTTATTTTGTCAGTGATGCAGGGCACTATCAGATTGGTGCTGCATTTATTCCGAATTTGAAAAAGATGCCATTACTCTCTGCAACTCACATAGTGAAGTATATTATGGAAGCAATTTTCAGCAAACAAATATTTTTTAGTAAATTCAGGGAATTGTGAGCCTTACGAGTGGTTTTGCAGTTCTTTTTTAGGTGTTCAAAGTACCGAAGATATCTATCAACTGTTTTAAGATTGACTTCTGCAATTCACCTTCTCTGACTCAGTTCCATTGAGATAGTTTTTAGCTCTATAACTAACTAAAGCACGAACGAAAAAAATTGCATGCGTCCACTTAAGTTTGCACGTGCATTTATTTTTAATTCAAGTCAAACACCAAAGTGATAATCCAGGCGACGAATTTCACTTGCTTTGTTCGCAACAACTGTAGCATTTGAGAATAGTGTATGTAATTTTTGCATAGATATTCTGCTACACAGCGGCCAAGGCTGAATCAAAATCAACGGCATTTGAATCATAGGGGTTTCAATAACCGACTATATTTCAATAGATTTATCGAGATAAATAACTACCAAAATATAATATTTTTTGCTAAGAAATATTTTATAAACTAAACTTTGATGATAATGATAAATGTTTTGTACGTGACCGCATAGTTATATAATCGATTTTCGAGAGAAGCATATAGAGGAACTCAATGAATAGATGGGAATGTTATTTGACCCTGGCAATAACCTGAACATCGAAAATTTGTCGTTGGATGACTTTGATATAGAGCACCTGAATAACGTCAAATTAATGCATTGTAGAATCTGTAACAACCCATAACTCAAAAACTTTCTCTTTTTAATGAATTTCGTCGAGTGCAAAGCAACTGAAGCGCAAACTGAAAATATAGAAAGCAATTTATTGTTGCTGTCTAAACATGCAATTGAGGATAGAACACGAAACCTCAAAGGTAGAATGACTACTGGGCAGTTAATTAGCTGATAGTTTTCCCACAACACGACTCAACAAAACTATTCTTCGCAAGTTTAGTGCTAGCATCACACCCCGCTGATCTTACCCCCAGCGCACAGGGTGGTGACTCGGAAACTGTTCGAAACGGAATAAATTTGAGGTCTCAGGCCCGACTGTCTGTGGAGCCGATGGAGTCACACTGCTCGTGAGATGCAGTCCGGTTGGAACAGCTTTCCAGTGCTTCACGGCTCTTTGGTTCAACCTTCATTTGCTCTGGACTCCAAAAGCTTAATTGTGGTTGGGGTTGGGTGTATCATACTGTGGCTGATTAACCTTCCTGTGTACCTCGCAAAATATTTCTACGAAACAGAACTTCACAAATAGAATTTGCTGAGGAGTCCCTACTGATTGTCTTCCCGCGTCCATAGATATTTACCACTGATGGGGGAAGACGAAAATCAAACATTTGGGGCTAAAACCGGGTCGTTAATGGTAGTTCATCTGGGGAGTTGTATAAAAAACCCTAGTTCCAAACCAAACAAGAAGACGTGCATGAACTACAAACACAGTCACCTTCCTGGTTTTACAGTAATCACCGTCTCGATGGGGTATCGATGTGCACTGCAACACTTGATACTGTCCCAAGAGCGTCTGGTTCAACGAACTGGATACCGGTTCCCGATGGATTACAGCTTTCACACACCGACCAGCTGTCTTGCAGGTCAGGCTCCGGTTGTAAATTACCCCAGAAGATTAGTCAACCTAGCAACGCTGTGCACTGTGGTAACCCATGGACTAATTACTCTGTTATATAGGTTATTATACTTGTGATTGGTTTGGAACACATCTTGGGCTGAGATGCGTGTAAAATGCAGCAAAATAATTATTTGATCTGTACAAGACGAAATTCGTCATAGAATTAAATGAGACAGTTGATTGCACTCATGTACCTAATAGTCACAGGTTTTTTTAAACATATCTTTTAATAGAGTTTCTTCGTAATACCTATTCTTTTAAATGAGTCCGTGATGGCACATCTGAAAGGTCATCGAACACAATCACACATTTTAGGGCAGTGCAGACATGATGAAAAAGTAGAAAAAGGTTGCACGAGCTGAACTATAAAAACAATACTTTTTGACTTGCCTGCTCCAAATCCGACTAGAAGTTCCAGACAGTCCAGATTACCAGCTATCACAGCATGGTGAATAAGATAAGATCCTTTCGGGTCAGTTTGATTCAGGATAGCTTGATGTTCTTTCAGCAGTTCCCTGAGCATTTCGACGCAATTTTCTTTTATACACTGTTAGACGAAACAAGAAAGTAGATTTGGAATCACAAATCTTGAACCAGTCACAAAAAACAGCCGTAAGTTCCATGTATGTGTATGTTCTGACGCATTCCGGAACTCAATGGGTCTAATTGATTTATTTAATACGATTTATGCGGTTGTTAAAATGTGATGAAAGAAAGTACTTTCAAACTGATTGCCAGTTGAAAAATAACTACAACACCCAGTTTAAATCTGACTCATTTAGTTGATATTTGTCACAAAAGCGATCACAGAGGCGCACTTAAGTTCTTCTGTCTGGTTTACATTCTAAACTAACTAGAATAACCTAACTGCCACTTGGGCCAACTTTTTCAACCCGACCCCTCGCAATACACCTGTATATGGCTTAAATCAGAGTGTAAAAAAGTCAACTGGTTTAGAACCTTCAGTTGCATTGACCTTGAAGGAATAGGACTTAATTCCAGGCTTACCTTTGACATGATAAAGTCTGTAAATCGGCCATAAGATCTCAGTTAACTTCCTACTTACACCTATTCTGTGTTTGCACATTCCTTTCACATCGCCTGTTTGCACTCTCCCGCCAACCCGCGCAGCTGAATTCCTCCCTGACCCTTTTGTGCACCCGGAATGGACAATTTTCCCGAATTCGCGCAATTATACTACTGCATCATCATCAAAGGGTTGTTTCCTGGTTTTCTACTAATAGACAGAACAGCAATGAGGATCTATCGGGTTCTTTAACCGACAATTAGCATGGGGCAGTTGCCACGTGCACCAGCCAGAATCTGTACCTTGCTGATCACCTCGAGTGTTTAATCGGTTCAGTGAAATGAAACTGTACTATTATCACAGCTGTTCAAGTGAGTTCAAGTGAAGCTAATCGCGGAAAATGATCCAATCAGATCGTTAAAAATGTCAGAGGAGGATTTACATGTATTGAGTCATAAGTGGGAGCGAAGTGACGAAGTAAAGCAAACGAGTAACCGCACTGTGAAATCGGCGATACCATATTTGAACAAATGACCTTTGACTCCGAGTATGTCTAGCGCGTTTATACCGACCTGTCACACATTTACTCCACGAAATCATGATGAGATTCATTTAAAACCCAATTTTCAGTATTTGGTAAAATTAAAAGATATATTGGTTTAGTTTATTGAAATCGTTCATCGTATTTGAACAATGTGCATGTATGTTGTGGTTTACTTTTCGCGGGCGCAATAATGGGTTTGTGCGCTATCCTCACAGTAGACCTGACCAAACAGTGTAGTATATCATATTTCCACAAAGTATGAATTTTCAGTATTCACTTCAATATAACATTATTATATTTGTATAAAACCATTTCACGATGATGATGGGTAGACCTTGTCAACTATGGCAAATCCGAATTACTACAAAACCGTAACTTCTTGAGACAGTAGTGA